ACTCGCACGCACGCACGCACGCACACACACACAGACACACACACTTAAACACACTCTCACAATCAGTCACTCACTCACTCACGCACACACACACACTTAAACACACTCACACTCAGTCACTCACTCACGCACGCTCACACACACACACACACACAGACACTTAAACACACTCTCACACTCAGTCACTCACGCACGCTCACACACACACACACACTCACTCGCACACACACACACACACACTTAAACACACTCACACTCAGTCACTCACGCACGCTCACACACACACACACACTCACTCGCACACACACACACACACACTTAAACACACTCACACTCAGTCACTCACGCACGCTCACACACACACACACACTCACTCGCACACACACACACACACACTTAAACACACTCACACTCAGTCACTCACGCACGCTCACACACACACACACACTCACTCTCACACACACACACGCACACACACACACACACACGCAGGTAAGGATGATATCTGTCTGTCCATCATGAATCACTCTGTGTGTGTGTGTGTGAATATTTTATTTCTGCTGTCCAGTCAGGAGACAGTGATGTAAATGAGATGCAAACCATCTGCTGGAAACAGTGACAGTTTCTCGATTCATATTCATCTGACTGTTCACTTCATTTCCTACTATATATTAGAGCGAGTTATTAGAGATCCAGCGTCATTCTGAAGGTCAAGGAGAGCCGTCAGAGAAATGACTTATTCAGATAGACGAGGAGCATCTCCTTTATATTCTTATGATCAGAAAAGACACACAGAGCTGTGACCTTTGACCTCAGACAAACTGACCACACACACACACACACATCTGTACCTGGACCAGAGCAGAAGGAAGCGATCAGAAGCAGAATGGAGGTGAAGCTGAGATACGGCATCCAGGAGAACCTGTCCTACACACACACACACACACACACACACAGGTTTGTTTTTATGGTTTATGGGGACTCTCCATAGGCGTAATGGTTTTTATACTGTACAGACCGTATTTTCTATTGCCCTACACCAACACTACACCTAAACCTACCCCTTACAGGAAACGTTGTGCATTTTTAGATTTTAAAAAAACTTAATTCTGTGTGATTTATTAGCTTGTTCACACACACACACACACACAGAGAGAGACATGGCTTGAGTTCAGTGTGTTAAGTGTGTGTTTAGTGTGTGAATGTGACTGTGATTTACCTGATAATGCAGGAAGACTGTGAGGAGACTAAAGAAAACAGCCATCGCTGAAAAACCAAAGATCAGTAATGGCCTCCGACCGACTTTCTCAATAACTAAACCCTGAAACACACACAGAGCTTCATTTCATTTTAATCTACACTGTTACCATCACTCTTATTACTGTTATTGGCACAAATCACCTCACATGAATTGTCATTGATTGTGAATAAATATCATGAATTAAACTGTTTTAAATGACTATTAATTTTTCAATTTTTAAAATGACTTAATTTATTATTTTATTTGACATTTAAAAACAAGAATTACATAAACATTTTTTAATATGTCTCACAATTTATTATCTTACTTAATTTTTGCCTCTTTGTCGCCATCTCTGTTTGAAACCTGCAATTGCAGCTGTTTGTGGCATTATCTTCCTTGCGTGGGTTGTGCTTCGGCGCGGATGAATCTAATGTTTTGAGGAGTATGTGTGGATACTATACTTCAGGATCACAGATTCTAGCCTACGTCTTGGAATTTATGACCCAAATAAGAATTTTCACCGTATATTGTCATCTGAACAAGTAAGTAACAAGTCTGCCACGTTTGTTCTGACCAACTGAGGAAAAAAGCATTACAATAAATCGCTCTACTAATGGTGATTTAATCTAAATTAGCTCATATCACATCAAACCGTGCAAATTATTATTATTGTTATACTTTATTCTCAAATTATTAATGTTAACAACATCAGCATTGCCTATAGTGTGTATAAGCGAGTAGATTTCAAATTCTGTACAGTTTAATATCTAATTGTCATACCATTTGAATTTCATATTAAGAAATTCTTTTAACCCAAAAAGCAAATTTTGCTCCCTTCGAACTGGTTGTCTTTAAAATACAAATAAAATGTCCTCATAAATCACCTTCTCGTTGTAATACCTATGTCATACCCATGTTATTATACAAATTTGTGTCCTCATAAACCACATAAACATGCACAAACACTCACACACACAGACACACACACACACACTCTCTCTCTCTCTCACACACACACACACACACACACACACACACACACACAGAGAGAGACATGGCTTGAGTTCAGTGTGTTAAGTGTGTGTTTAGTGTGTGAATGTGACTGTGATTTACCTGATAATGCAGGAAGACTGTGAGGAGACTAAAGAAAACAGCCATCGCTGAAAAACCAAAGATCAGTAATGGCCTCCGACCGACTTTCTCAATAACTAAACCCTGAAACACACACAGAGCTTCATTTCATTTTAATCTACACTGTTACCATCACTCTTATTACTGTTATTGGCACAAATCACCTCACATGAATTGTCATTGATTGTGAATAAATATCATGAATTAAACTGTTTTAAATGACTATTAATTTTTCAATTTTTAAAATGACTTAATTTATTATTTTATTTGACATTTAAAAACAAGAATTACATAAACATTTTTTAATATGTCTCACAATTTATTATCTTACTTAATTTTTGCCTCTTTGTCGCCATCTCTGTTTGAAACCTGCAATTGCAGCTGTTTGTGGCATTATCTTCCTTGCGTGGGTTGTGCTCCGGCGCGGATGAATCTAATGTTTTGAGGTGAATGTGTGGATACTGTACTTCAGGATCACAGATTCTAGCCTACATCTTGTAATTTATGACCCAAATAAGAATTCTCACCGTATATTGTCATCTGAACAAGTAAGTAACAAGTCTGCCACGTTTGTTCTGACCAACTGAGGAAAAAAGCATTACAATAAATCGCTCTACTAATGGTGATTTAATCTAAATTAGCTCATATCACATCAAACCGTGCAAATTATTATTATTGTTATACTTTATTCTCAAATTATTAATGTTAACAACATCAGCATTGCCTATAGTGTGTATAAGCGAGTAGATTTCAAATTCTGTACAGTTTAATATCTAATTGTCATACCATTTGAATTTCATATTAAGAAATTCTTTTAACCCAAAAAGCAAATTTTGCTCCCTTCGAACTGGTTGTCTTTAAAATACAAATTCTGTGTAATCCCAGGCTATCTGTAATCAGAAGCACATTTATAACTGGAATATAATTTAATTTCATTCACATGTGTTTCATAAACACATAATCCTTTCTGGATTACAATCCGCCATCAAAATTATACATTTAATTATTCCAGCTGCTGTGAGAAAAG